TATATTTTTTAAATATGTTTATTCGATTTATTTCAAAATGATTAACGAACATAGTATTCTAGGAAAAACGTTCTTTCTACGAACATTTATTTAAAAATTAAATATTATAATTATTTTATGAAATTAAAAAAAAAATATATAAATATATATATAGATTATTGTTTTATTTTTAATAAATTATGAATTTTAAATAACTGATTATATTAATATTTCCTGATTCATGTCATTCTCCAAATAAAATAAGTCAAATAACTTTTTGTTAAAGAATGAAAGCTTAAAAAAATCGTTTCTTGAAGTTTGACAGTGAATTACAACTAAACGACAAAATATACTACTATACCAGTAGACACATTTGGAAACTGAATATTTACTCTTAATTTAACGAAACGAAACGAAAACTTAACGAAAGAACAATACCAATATAAACATCTTAGAGAGTGAATATTTAGCTTTAATTTGATTGCTTAGAAATGAATTTGTCGTATTCACATTTGAAGATATAAGCAAAAATGTAAAGACTTTGATTAAATAAACGTTTCTTCAGTTTGACAGTGAATTACCGCTAAATCACAAACGAAAGAATAATACCAATACAAACATTTTAAAGAGTGAATATTTAGCTTTAATTTGATTGCTTAGAAATGAATTTGTCGATTCACATTTGAAGATATAAGCAAAAATGTTATAGTTTTCGAGAAAATCAATATTTTATTACATGTGTCTTCTCTCAAAAAAAAAAAATAATAGAAATTAAATTAAAATAAAAAAAACGAAATTTCACAAACATTTATGCACGAAAAAGAAAATATTATGGCAGTTAAAATTCGTTTCATTAAATACAATAAATCTCCTAATAATAATAAAAAATAATAGTCGCTAAAATAATAATTAAAGTTATGTACAATAAAACAAACAAAAAAAAATACAATTCATTAGATTTCGGAGTTTCGTGTGTGGGGAAGAGAAGGAATTAAAGGGGTCGGTGAGAGGATATGAGATAAAAGTAAATAGGGTCTTTTCGTTTAACTATGTTCAGTAGACGACGTGTTTCGATAAAACCGTTTCGATCCATTTGACGTCCGGAAGATTGTAACCACCCAATTGGTTCTCGTTTTTGCAGCCGGTGTCCCAGCTAAAGATACCGTGCAACGTGTAGTGATAACCGTCAGTGGTGCAAGCCAAAGCTGATCCATGATCCACCTATGAGAACGAAATGAATAACATGTTAATTATCTATTGATATTGTAGAATTATTATATGATTTACTTTGCATTGATCGCCTTGGGATTTAGCGCAAACGGTTCTTGGAGCCAATAGATCCACGGATTCCGGGAAGTGCGTCTGCAGAATATTAGCGCTTTCGTCGTTTCCAATTACATCGACATCCACAAGACGCATTATAGCATCTTTAAGATGAACTGAAATTTATATAATATTAATAAGAAAATTATAGATTTACGGATGATTAGACGTACCTTGTAAAACCTTCTTTCCCCAACCGGTTGAAATACATTTACCTTCCGGTTGAGAATCCGGTTTCGGCAAGCAGATAGTATCGATATTCTTGGCAGTTCTCAAATGTTCGTCCAATAAAAGAATCGCCACGTCATCTCCCTTCGAATGTTGATCGTAGCTTGGATGAATAACGATCGATTTAACTTTAACAATTTGGAACGGAAGAGGTTCCTCGTCAATTCCCAATTTCCATTCGCCGCCCTTAATAAGGACATCATTGGCGTCAAGTCTGCAAACAAAGTGACATATTATAATATTATGTTTACTTTGCATTTTCTAAAAATTACCCTTCGACGCAATGAGCGGACGTTATTACAGCATCAGTTCTGATGATTGCACCGCCACAAAGAAGACTTCTGTTGGAGTCTCTGAGAACCATAGCTTGCCAAGGGATCTCGGCGAAGTGTGCATCCAAAGCTCCGGGTCCTTTCGGTTGTGTATCCTAAACATAGCAATATCAAGATATTATTAGTTCATAGTCCAATCAAAGCACGAACAAACGTACATAATGACGGGTTCCACAGGTACCGCCTACGTTCGCAAACTTAGGATGGGATCTAGTAGGTCTCGAGATGTCGATGGAATATTGGCCAAGAGAAGGATCCTCTCGGTATTGTCCGTTATCAATACCATTCACCAAATTCGCAGATGGCCATGGATCTTTGTATTGAGGATCGCGGCAGCATTTTCCAGCAACTCCAGATGTATCAGCACATTCCTACAAGCAAACCAAGATAAAAAAAAAACGTAATTGCGATGGGACTGGATGATTGGTATCATCAAACTTACAGTTAACGGAACTCGATTGAGTTTCTGTTCATCGCTTAAGACGACTGGAACTGCAGAGACGAATCCTTCCGGTGTGCAATATATTTCTTGTACACATTTGAGAGCGGCAGCGCACGTTGGCAATATAACAACTGGATGAATGTTACCATCATCAGTGATTATGGTGGGAACATCGTTGGTGTTGTCTGGAGTAGTATCCGGTTCGAAAGGCGGTATCGGCTTTGTGTAATTGTATCCCTCATGTTGATCCGGTACGCAACGTCCGTTTTCATAAACCGTGTTACCTGAACATACAATATTTTTAGGTGTGTCGGTTGGTTCGCATCGGCCATTTACGGGCCTTCTGTTTCCAGGGCATTTGTATTGGTTATTGGTAGTTGTTGTTGAGGTAGGTGTTTGGGCACATCGGCCGTTTATTAGTTTCGTGTTACCAGTGCAAATTATTTCACAGTGACCGTTTATTAGTTGGTAGCCGGGACGGCAAGTCTTTTTAGATGGTCGAGTAGGTAATGTAAAGATGGTAGCCGGTGTTGGGTAAGTATATCCTGTAGGTTCTTGTGGTATACAGTGTCCATTTTTAAGTATAGTATCTCCCTTGCAAACTATTGTTGGTGTTGGAGGAGTGGGTTTCGGGACGCAACGGCCATTATGGAATATGGTATTTCCGGTACAAGTGATATGTGATGGAGGTGTAGGTTTGGGAACGCAACGGCCGTTTTGTAGAATACTATTTCCAGTGCAGGTGATGTGTGTAGGTTGAGTTGGTTTAAGGACGCATTCTCCGTTTTGCAGGTATGTATTTCCGGTGCAAGTGATTTGTGGTGGAGGAGTTGGTCTTGTGATACATTGTCCATTTTGAAGGTAGGTATTTCCAGTGCAAGTTATTTGTGGAGGTGAAGTTGGTCTAGGAACGCAACGACCATTTTGAAGGTAGGTATTTCCAGTGCAAGTGATTTGTGGTGGAGAGTTGGTCTAGGAACGCAACGACCATTTTGAGGGTAAGTATTTCCGGTACAAGTGATTTGTGGTGGAGGAGTTTGTCTTGTGATACATTGTCCATTTTGAAGATAGGTATTGCCTGTGCAAATGATTTGTGGTGGAGAAGTTGGTCTCGTGACACATTGTCCATTTTGAAGGTAGCTATTTCGTGTGCAAGTGATTTGTGGTGGTATTGTGGGTCTAGGAACACATTGTCCAAATTGCAAATAAGTATTTCCTGTACAGGTAATTTGAGATGGGTTGTTGGTCTTGAAACGCAACGACCATTTTGAGATAGGTATTTCCTGCAAGTGATTTGTGGTGGAGAAGTTGGTCTTGAGACACATTGTCCAAATTGTAGATAAGTATTTCCAGTACAAGTGATTTGTGGAGGTGGAGTTGATCTTGGAACGCAACGTCCATTTTGAAGGTAAGTATTTCCGGTGCAAGTAACTTGTGGTGGAGAAGTTGGTCTCGAGACACATTGTCCATTTTGAAGATAAGTATTTCCAGTACAAGTGATTTGCGGAGGTAATGTTGGTCTTGGAACGCAATGACCATTTTGAAGATAGGTATTTCCTACACAAGTAATTTGTGGTGGTGTTGTGGGTCTAGGAACACATTGTCCAAATTGAAGATAAGTATTTCCTGTACAGGTAATTTGAGATGGTGTTGTTGGTCTTGAAACGCAGCGACCATTTTGGAGATAGGTGTTTCCGGTGCAAGTAATTTGTGGAGGTGGTGTGGATCTAGGAACACATTGTCCATTTTGAAGGAAAGTATTACCTGTGCAAATAAGTTGAGAAGGTGTTGTTGGACGTGAGACACAATGACCATTTTGAAGGTAGGAATTTCCGGAGCATGTGACTGGTGTGGGAGGAGTAGGTCTAGGAACACAATTTCCATTTTGAAGAATCATATCTCTAGCACATGTTATTTGTGGTGGTGGCGTTACCCTAGGCACACATCGTCCACTTACTAAAAATGTATTTCCTGTGCATATTATAGGAGCTGGAGTAGGAAATGGCACTGTTGGTACTGGATAGGTGTACCCAGTGGTATCTTGAGGAATGCAACGTCCATTTTTGAAAATGGTGTTTCCACTGCAAGTTATATGTGTTGGGGGTGTTGGTTTAGGAACGCATTGACCATTTACAAGATTAGTATTTCCGGTGCAAGCTGGTGTTTTAGGTACACATCGTCCGTTTTGGAGATATGTATTTTCAGTGCAAGTGATTTGTTTAGGAACACATCTGCCGTTTTCTAAAATAGTATTTGCCGTGCAAGTTATTGGTGGTGATGGAGTTGAAGGGAATGTAGGAACACAACGACCATTAACTAAGTATGTTTTTCCTGTGCATGTTAAGACCGGTGGTGATGGTGTTGGTGGTGTTGGTTTTGTTTTTGGCACACAATGTCCATTTTGTAAGTAAGTGTTTCCTGTGCAGACGATATGTGGTGGTGGTTTTGGTGATACACAAATACCGTTTTGTAAGTAAGTATTTCCAGTACATATTGGTTGTGTGGTTTGTGTAGGCACGCAGCGTCCGTCTACTAAATATGTTTTTCCGGTGCATGAATTGACTGGGGGCGTCGTTGGTTTTTCAACGCATTGCCCATTTACTAAGTAACTATTTCCACGACATATTGGTGTTTTAGGTACGCATCGGCCATTCTTTAAAATTCTATTACCTGTACATTCAACGACTGGGACGCAGACACCATTCTCCATCTTCTGGTTGTATCCGCAGTTATCAACGCAAACACCGTTTCGTAAAATTTGATTACTGCTGCATTTTGGTTTCAGGATGCAACGATTATTCACTAACTCTTCATTGACATTGCAAATTGGAACACAGTCATTTCCTACTTGTCTTGTATTTGCTGGACAGTATGGACCTGTCGGAACACATACTCCATTTGTCAAAATTTCATTTGCCTTACAATTTTCAATGCAGACACCATTTCTCAATATTTGATTACGGCTACAAATTGGTTGACACTGGCCATTTACGTAACGTTGGTTGGGTCCACAGGTCGGTTGGCATTGACCTCCCACGAAACGTTCATTTGGTCCACAGTTTGGTTGGCATTGGCCGTTTACTAGACGTTCGTTTGGTCCGCATATTGGTTGACATTGGCCATTTACATAACGTTGATTTGTTCCACAGTTAGGTTGGCATTGACCTCCAACGAAACGTTCATTTGGTCCACAGTTAGGTTGGCATTGACCTCCCACGAAACGTTCATTTGGTCCACAGTTAGGTTGACATTGACCTCCTACGATGCGTTCATTTGGTCCGCAAATTGGTTGACATTGTCCATTTACATAACGTTGATTTGATCCACAGTTAGGTTGGCATTGGCCATTAACGAAACGTTCATTTGGTCCACAGTTAGGTTGGCATTGACCTCCTACGAAGCGTTCATTTGGTCCACAGTTAGGTTGACATTGACCTCCTACGATGCGTTCATTTGGTCCGCAAATTGGTTGACATTGTCCATTTACATAACGTTGATTTGATCCACAGTTAGGTTGGCATTGGCCATTAACAAAACGTTCGTTTGATCCGCAAGTCGGTTGACATTGACCATTTACCAAATGTTCCTTTGGACCGCAAATTGGCTGGCATTGTCCATTTACGTAACGTTGATTAGGACCGCAATTTGGTTGACACTGGCCACCAACAAGTCGTTCATTCGGTCCACAGATTGGTTGACATTGACCATTAACAAAACGTTGATTAGCGCCACAGTTTGGTTGACAAATGCCACCTACAAGATTTTCATTTGGACCACATCTCGGTTGACATCTTCCATTTACAAGGTGTTCGTTGGATTTGCATTCAATAGATACACAGTTTCCATTTATATATTTCTTATTTGGACCACAGCTTGCGTCTTTTTCATAACAAACACCGTTTCTTAAAACTTGATTGGAATTACAAGTGACTGGTGGTAGATATGTATTGTCTATAACGCAAATACCGTTTTTCAGAATTTGATTGCCAGTGCATTTTGCTACACATATGCCGTTCTTTAGTATTTGATTATATTCGCATGCAGGTTCTATGTTTATGACTTGACAATATCCATTTACAAGTCGCTCGTTGGGACCGCAATTAGTTTGGCATTTTCCATTAACAAAACGTTGGTTTGGTCCGCAGGTAGGTTGGCATACACCTCCTACAAGATGTTCATTTTGTCCACAGCTAGGTTGACATTGACCGTTTACATAACGTTGGTTTGGTCCACAGTTTGGTTGACATTGACCATTTACGAAACGTTCATTTTGTCCACAATTAAGTTGGCAGTGGCCATTTACGAGACGTTCGTTTGATCTGCAAGTTGGTTGACATTGGCCATTAACATATCTCTCAGATGGTCCACAAGAAGGTTGACATTGTCCATTTACAAGACGTTCGTTTGATCCACAAGTTGGTTGACATTGTCCATTGACGTAACGTTGGTT